GTGGTAGACCATGTCTTCTGGGTCCATGGGCTTCCGGTGGATGTGGTCTCTGATACAATCATCTAGTCACATGACAATGATGTGGAGCTTAAACAAATAGTTTTGAGAATTTAAATTATCTGAGAAATATATCAAGAAGACGTGATAACAACTCTTGTGGTACCTGGAAATTCATCTCTAATAGTTAATTCCATTTATAATTCATGATGTTTTAGCACATGTAAAAGGCTCACTGATGGACTGTGATAAGGAAAGGTTGTGACTATATCTGAAAATGTTTTTTTTTATGATTTAAAAAGTAAGGGGTGATATATTGAATAGGCTGTTAGATGCTAGTATATAGTAATAAAAAGAAATAAAAAGAACAACAACAGAAAGATTGGGGTGTACTTTTTTCCCCTGAGTAATAGTTTCCTTGTTGTATTATGTAATTTTCTTCATCTGGAAATGCATTAAACCCCTCAGCACACACACAAATGAATGCTATAAAAGCCCAGCAAAAGCACATTCCCATTGATTTCTCTCATTTGAACCCGGCCCACAACATTAGATGTTTCTCTCAATTTCAAATAGTTAATAGAAGGATTATTCACACAAAATGCAAATACATTCAAGTAACAATGATCAAAGGTAAGAGCTTTTGAATTGTTTTCTGTTATGAATCTTTTAGTCTTTAAACTGTTGATCCTGTCAACCTGTCAAACTATGTGTATAATATCTTAAATTCATAGATGCCAGTTTCCTGTGTGACAAAAGATGATTTTAATGCTATCCTGTTTATTTTTATGTTTTAGTTGTGAATAATTTGTGACTTTAAAGACCAAATAATGGATATTCGAATTTTAATTCTTATTCTTGACTCCTGGTGTGAGAGAAAATCCTTTATAAATGTAAACATCTGTTGCAAAAATCTGTTCCATGTTTATGAAATAGAATACTGTTTTTGTTTTAGCTGGTTTGTTTTTATTGTTTCACATAGAGAGCCACTTGCATATAGAAATGATCGTCGTGGTCCTCTTGTTCTCGGGTATGAATCACACACAAATCTCATATAGGCATTTAAGTTTAATGTGATGTAATGTGAAGATACAGTATACACTTTCTAAATCTTCAAGATTCAAGTTTTTTAATCACCCATTGTCTCTATACATATAATGTTTATCATTTAAAAACGTTCTTCTCCTGAATCATTTTACCAAACACTTTCAAGGAACTACAACACTATTTTTGCTTTCAGGAGAGCACTGGTATTTACTTTAATGCACATTCAAATCAAAATACAGTAGCCTACATAAGACTGTTTATTTTCTTCCTCAGCTGTCTATTCTCAAAAGAAACCAGATTTTGGAGCACTCACAGCCTGTGTAAACAAAAACCAAAGCCTAACAGTTGATTGTTATTACCCAACTTGTGACAATAGTCCTACACCCTTTAACTGCAACCTTTATGATGTTGAGGAAGACACAATAACTCTAATTGGCAGCTCATATGAAGAATTGGTCAACAACGATGTTTCATTCTTAAATGCTACATCTGGAGTATGCCGACTCATTATCAATGATCATGCCCGGATTTACCATAACCAGACCAAGACTTATGTATGCGATCTGACACGGAGAACAAGTAAAGAAAAGAAGACACTCATTGTGAAACACACTGGCACACGAAAAGGTTAGTGTCAGTTACTTAAAATGTTTCAAATAAATTATTTGATCATAATGAAATTGACTAATAAATAATGGTTAATATTTTATAAAATATGGAATTTTGCCAAAATGTGCAAAACATGAGCATTTTGTGGCAAACAACATGTTGTAGATCTGGCTAACCTGTCAAAATACTGTTTATTTAAATTAGTTGAGTTCAGAATTTTGCATATATACATTTTTTTTTTTCCCAGAGCGACCAAAGGACTGTCCTGCAGGTGGACCATTACTACATGTCTCAAAATTGCTGTGGTTAATAGCATTTATTTTCTTCCAAGAAACGTACTTGTAAAATCAAACAGCCTTCTCTACTCAAAACCTACTCATTCTGAGTATGAAACATTGTGGAATGGAAGATAAATTACATAAACCCACATTACGGATTAAATAGTGTGAAGCAGATTAGACTTAAACTTATTAGGAACACAACAATAAAGGGTTAAATCTTTTCAGTAGCTATAACAGATTTTTACAGGCATTTGGTCCTGTGTCTAAAAGCACACTTTTATTGTTTCATATACTAATAATGTTCAACAGTGTATGCATGCATCATGAGACAATTTTTGTTGTTGTTGTTTTCTTAAAGCCATAAACATTGTCACATTGTCACCACATCTCAAGTTATGTATCATGTTTAACATTTTGTCATGAAAATTACATTTTTGGAATAAAATGACTGACTCTGTCTTGCTGAGGCTAATTTCCTAACTAACTTAAATACACATTTAATCACAAATAATTCTGTAAAACTTAACGATAAGGTCCCATTAGTTAACTTTAGTTATAATAACTAACAATGAGCAATACATTTGTTACAGTATTTATTCATCTTTAATAAAAACTGTTCATTGTTAGTTCAAGTTAGCCAACTGTTTCCAAAAATAACCACTATATAAAGTAAAGAAATGTTTTTGTTGTTGCTCTGGAGTATGTTGACTAGAGTGATGTAGAAGTATTCTCTGTGAAGCTCACACTGGTGATGTAGAGAAAACGGATTTCACTGTTAAGTGATCTAATTTTCAGCAGCAAGTAAAAAAGTGTCAGTTAGGTATATGGCCTGTAGTTAGGAAGGAAGTACATGCTATTTAAGGAAAATATAATTATATCTTCAGAATTCTAGACACATTTAACTTTTGTTTCACAGGGGAAAAAAATACACAGCCCTTTATGGGGGCATTTTCCACCACTCATAACAAATGGAACCTTATTGTAAAGTGTTACCGCATTTTGAGACTTGTAAGTAATTTAACAATTATTTGATAAACAGTAAAAAAAGAACATCATAAAAGTTTTCATGTGATTTTCCAACAACACGAATCAAACACCCAAGATCAATGTTTCCTGCGCTGGTGTAGCTCAGCGGTTACTTCATTTGGCTTTTTCTGAAGACAGTCCTTTTGATCGACCCCGCAGCGCTCTCTAGCGTTTTCTTCAGATATACACTTGACAACAGAAGCGACACTCAAATTCGGACTCAGACAATTTATACGTTAACTGTTACATCGGTTATTAAGTTTTAATTCGCTGCACTGGCGTAGCTCAGGGGTTACTTCTACATAACAATTCAGCTCTCCCGCCATGGGATCGACCCCCGGCGTTGTCCAGTGTTTTCATCCCAGCTACATTAGACCAGCACGAAACAGCTTTCAAACAAAAACGAATGTTTGTTAATAAAAGGCAACACATACTTATACGATTGAAGTTGCTTAATTCAGACCTTAACAAGTTTGAACATTCCACTTTCTGAGGTTCTTCAAATCAAATATTTCATTCCTTGTTCACTCCTACTGCAGTCCATTATATTCTTTACTCCACGTCCCGCTAGTCCTATTTTTCCCATGTCATTTATCATGTCCATCCTCTGTAATTCATATTTTGAATAATTAATAAGCACATGTTCTACGGTCTCGGGTATTTGGCACTGTTCACAAAACCCAGTTGGATGTTTTCCCATAATATGAAGAGTGCTGTTTAATTTATTATGCCCTATTCTTACTCTGGTCATAATAGTCTCTTCAGATTCTTTATTTATTTGAGCTTTTCTTACATCGTCCTCCAATCACAACACTGCATCCATTGTGCCCCTTCCTCTCCTAAACCCACTTTGATATTCCGTTATCAAACCCTTTTTTTTCCAAAAAATACATTAATCTCTCATTTACCATTCTTTCCATCAATTTGCAAATATGCGATGTTAATGCAATAGGTCTATAGTTTGATGGCTTATTAGCATCTTTTCCTGGCTTCCTTATTGGGATAATTATTGCTTCTTTCCAACTCTCAGGAATTTTCCCTTCTTCCCATATTTTATTAAATAACATTAGCAATTTTTCCTTACTTTCTGTACTTAAATGTTTTAACATGATATAGCTTACTTCATCTTTTCCTGGTGCCGTTTTTCTAGTTTTAACTAATGCTCTTTCTATTTCTCCCATTCTAAAAGGGACATTTAGATCATCCTCAAAGACGTCCTTCTTTTTTAAAGCTTCCATATTCATAGATTTAGTGCTCTCTCTACCTTTCCTTCCTTCCACTGACAAATTATTTGAGCTGTGTATACTAACAAATGCATCTACCAACATCTCTGCTTTTTCTTTGTTAGTAACTGCATCTTTATCTCCGTCACTTAACACAGGATAACTCCACTCCCTTGCATCCCCGCTCATCTTTTTAATCATCCCCCAAACTTCTCCTATCTGAGTAGTACTTCCAATTAAACTACAAAAATCCCTCCAATATATCCGCTTTGCTTGCCTAATTGTTCTTCTTACAACTGCCTGTGCATGTTTATACTGTATCATATGATGGAAATTATGAGTTCTTTTCAATAACTTGAAAGCTTTATTTCTGTTTTTTACTGCTGTTTTACAATTATCATTCCACCATGGTACTGATTTCCTTGTTTTATACCTTTACTTTTAGGTATAGTTTCTATTGCTGCTGATAATATTCCTTGCTTTATTTAATTATTTAATAACTCTATATCTGTATTATTATCAATTTGACTTAAATATTTATCACTTTCTGCTTGAAACTTTTCCCAATCAGCTTTCTCAAACACCCAATTTCCTCCTCTTCCATCTACTTTTTCCACTACAGAGATATTAACTTTACATATAACCGGATAATGATCACTCCCTATAGTCCCATCTTTATATACTCTCCAATTACAAACTGATGCCAAATTATTTCACTTTCTGAGGTTCAACAAAAGAAGGAGATTTTATTGAAAATGCTTATGACAGAAAATGACGCATACAAACAGTCCAGGTTCCGTTCCGTAAAACCCTCCTGTGATTCCACTGAGTCGACTCTGTGCGCCTGCGCAGAAAGCTACCCGCTCCGGTTGCTCCTGTTGTGAACAAGAGAGGGCACAAGAAAAGTAAACGGTGAGAAATAAATGAAATCACATATTTATTTTGCTTATTCCAACACCAATTTTATGATGGCTATATGTAGATGCAAGTGTTTTATTTGTGTACGCGGCTCATTTAAAACATTTATGTTTTTTTTTGTCTGTAAGATTGCCAGATAGCACTGGTAGCTAGCTAGCTAACCTTGCAACTGAGTCAAATATAATCTCAATTTGAATGGATTATAAATCCTTTTGTATGCACAATTTAGTTAGCCTTGTGTTTATTTTAAAATATTTACCGTGTAATACAAAACCATAGTATTAATGTAACGAGTGACTCCTGTTGACCAGTTCTGTTCATAATTGTTATTATGTGTATTCTATAAAACACACACACAAGCATTTTCATGTTAACGTTTATATTATTGGTTTCATCTGTTGGATCCAGTACAGGTTTGATCAGGCAACAGGGAGTGAAGGCACATTTTACCAGTTACATACTGACTGTGGATATGAAAGGGTTGGTAGCAAGTATTAATGCAACTAAATATTTGAACTATACAATTTGTAATACCACCATTTTAGCTAAATATACAACAATGTAAAATGCTGTGTTTCCAGACAGCAGAAAAGTTCTGAACCTGATGTCAATGTTCCAGTCATTGAAGAAGGTAAGATTAAGCACGATGCAGTAATGTCAGTGTATTTTTAAATAAATGTTGAGTATTGGTGTGTGCGTATGTGTGTGTGTTTTCTCTATCACAGGGTCAGTTGCTACTGCAGAGGACCCATCGGCAATCACAACTATTCAGTCTGCTTCTACTTTCTCCTCAGAGCAGCCGATTAAATATCTCTTCAAGACCGAGGGAGCTGGGGGGCAGGTAGGGGAGCTGTACCCTCCCTCAGGGCAGGTAGGAGATGGGGAGGAAGTGTTATATTCAAACCTGAGTGAGAATTTAGGCCCAGTTTACATCTGGTGATGATAACAATGGAGAACCATTTTACAATGTTATTCAGTGCTGTCAATTCCAGACGGATGTACCAACCTAAATTGTTCCCATTGAGTGTTCTTTCTGATGATGTTTCAGAAAGATCTAGCAGTGATCTCTCTTTCTTCACTGTAGGTAGCTTCTACAGACAAGTGTAAGATTATATTTCATAACATAACTTATCCTTTTAATTTTCCTCAGGTTACATATCGAGTAATCCAAGTCGCAGATGGACAGCTGGAAGCTCAAACTGATGGTGCAACAGCTGTTAGTGTAGTGACAGGGTTTCCTGCTACAACACAGCCTGTTACACAGGTGGAAATTTGCTTATTATTTTACCTGACATGGATGAATAGAATTGAACCTTTTTACATCTCATTTCAATATGATTTAAATCTGTTTTTCAGGCTGTTTTTTCTCAGTCTGAAGGCTTGGAGGGCGATGGCACAGAAACCCATTACACATATTACCCTGCTACTATCTCAGACGCAGCGGCTGGCACCATGGTGACCGGTGTTCAGGCCTCAGATGCTCTGCTTAGTCAAAGTACTCCTGCAGGTACATCATCAAACCATTTTTAGCATAAATGATGCATTTCAGTTGCTATTATGCACATGAATACTTTACAGTGCAACACTTCTGTTGCAAAACAGCCTGGGTTTTTTGTTAATTTGTTTTTTTGCTCCTGCTTTAGGTCAGTTGTATGTTATGATGTCCCAGCAGGAGGTCCTTACTGGAGCCAACCAGAGGTCTATTGCACCTCGTACACAACCTTACAATGCGTAATGTTGCTTTTCCAGCCTCGTTTAATACATTTCTCTTTTCAGTTATTGCTGTTTTGCTGTCTTTATTTGCATTCTCTTTTTTTTATGACTGCATACAGTATAATGTAAAAGAATAATGTAAAGAATATAAATGGATTAAAAATAATTAACTCAATTTATTATTTTGATGTCAGTATAGGTATGCCATAAGTCTATTTTATATTAAACTGTAATATAAAATCAGTCAAAAGTTTAAAATAAATAATATTTTTTTATGTTTTTGAACAAATTCTATGATATTCAATAAGGCTGCATTTATTTGATTACAAACAAAGTTAAAACAGTAATATTGTGAAATATTATTACAATTTAAAATAACTTTACTAGTATAATATATTTTAAAATGTAATTTATTCCTGTGATGGCAAAGCTGAATTTTCAGCAGCCATTACTCCAGTCTTCAGTGTCACATGATGCTTCAGAAATCATTCTAATGTGCTGATTTGCTGCTCAAAACAGTTGTGGTGCTTAATATTTTTGTGGAAACTGTGATAACACTACCATTCAAAAGTTTGGGGTAAGATAGATAAAAGAATGATTTCTGAAGAATCATGTGACAATGAAGACTGGAGTAGTGGTTGCTGAAAGTTATTTTAAATTGTAATAATATTTAAAAATATTTTTTTACTGTATTTTTAATCAAATAAATGCAGCTTTGTGAGCACAAGAGGCTTCTTTCAAAACAGAATAAAAAAAAATCTTAGTATTCCCAACTTTTGACCTGTAGTATATAGTGTTTAAATGAGCTGTTGACTGAACATCTGAATTAATGGATTAGCGTAGGAGCAAAATGAACCCAAGGAACAAAAACATTTATTGTAACATACTTTTTAATTATTTGCAGTAAGACAGAGGGGCCAAGGACTTCTAGAGATGAGAAAAGGCGAGCTCAGCACAATGAAGGTAACTGAAAAGGATTGAAAATTACATACAGTTAGATGTGTAAGTTATTTGCAAGTGATTATTTCCAACCCACTTGACAGTTGAGCGAAGACGTAGAGACAAAATTAACAACTGGATTGTTCAGCTTTCCAAAACAATTCCAGACTGCACCATCGATTCCACTAAAACTGGACAGGTATGTGTCAGTTTTGTGAATAAAATTGTGCAGGAAGTTCTGGATTATATCTGATTTTGCTGTTGTGTGTGTTACAGAGTAAGGGTGGGATCCTATCAAAGGCCTGCGATTACATTCAAGAGCTGCGACAAAGTAACAGCCGGTTAGGAGATGAACTGAACAGCCTTGACCGGTTGAAGATGGATAACCAGCTGTTACGGCAAGAGGTATTTTACAGGTTGCACCAATAAGGGATAACTTTTATTATCTAGATTAATTTAATTGAATCATTTAGGCTTATATAATAATTCACTTGCACTTTAGTCATTGTTTTGATCCTGGTTTTACTTTAATTAATTTAAACTCACATTTAAATCTCAAAATGAATATGGAAAAACCAATACCACCTGGAAAAGTTCTTAATTTTAGGCTATATATATCTCTGTTTTCCTGTCTGTCTTTATCACTTTCTTCATTTCTTTATTTCTCTATTGTATTGATGTCATTGATTGATTTGTTGTTTTGTCATGTGTTTTTTAAAGGTGGAAGATTGGAAGTCTAAGAATCAGATTTTGAGGAGCCAGCTCCGGCAGCATGGCATAGTTGCAGCAGCGAGTGCAGATCCCCAATGAAGAGTTCAAAGGATTTTGGAGTTTTGGAAATTTAGATCCAAAAACATTCAGTGCAGGAGATTCAATTTTCTGATGTTTTTAAACAACCCTGATCAATGCAGGACTTACATAATGCAGTATTCAGCATACCGGTGATGATTCTCCTTTGGGATCTTGCCTTATGTACATATTTTACTTTTCTTTTTTGTGTCCCCCATACTTTCTTGTAATTTAGCATTCGTTTTTTATGTACCAGGACAGGTCAGAGAAATGTGTTTATTTTGTACTGTTACTTCTAAACTTTGTGGAAATTATTAATGTTAAATCTTTGTGTTATGAATGCATTTTCATATATTTCATACTTTTCAGGTTCAGGTTTTTCAACTTAATTTGTCTGAATAATGAGCATGTCAAATAACTGCCTGTTAATTGACAATTCACAACATGGTCGTAGTAGATTTCACTATGCAGAGTACTGAAATAAATAACACATTTCCCCACTACGCTATTCTTCTAAATTGTGATCTAAGAATGTTTTTGTGACGAGAGGGGCGGGGCCGAGAGCCGTGGGAACGGAGCGAGGCCGGTGGAGTAATTGATAATGAGCGACACCTGCACCACTCACGGGTCTCGAGTCTCACGGAGGAGATCCGGAAGGATAAAAAGGAGGCGTGACGACAGTGAAAGACGAGAGAGAGCCAGGCCTGGAGTGTATTTTGTGTTTTGGTTTTGTTTGTGCGCGACAGTCGTCCGCGAGGGGCTGTCGCGCTGTTTTGTGTTTATTTTATTAAAGTTTTGTTTGAATGTTCGCCGGTTCCCGCCTCCTTCTTCCCGACCTACAAACGTTTGTTACAGTTTTGTTGTAACATCTCCGCCTTTTCAGTTGCCAAATATTTTGTATTTAACAGAAAGACGAGCTATCTCCCATTCCTGGAGATATTCTTGTCTATTTTTGTTTAATACCAAATATTTGGAAGGTTCAAGCCTGAAAAAATCAAGGTTCATGCAGAACTGCAGCCTGCCCGGACCTGCCTTTAATATCAGACCTTCCTCTATCAGCATGAACATTTGGGCAAGCCATTTTAACATTACTACAATAGTGAGTAGTGTTTTTGTCAGTTTTACTAGTAACTATTTATCAGATACCAGTATGTATTATGACATTAGTATTTATTTCAATGGTGGCTATTGTATTGGTACGTATTCATAATGTACTAGTACTTATTCCTTTGCTACTAGTTACTATCCCAATAATCACCATTGACCATTCCATTGTAACTGCTAACAAATTTTACCATTGAAATCTACGGGGATCTGTGGTTCAGTTCCAATATTCACTTCTAATTAATATGCCGTTTACTTGAACTTTTCCAGTTGTTTCAGGTACGTATTCCGATTTTATTCATTACTATTATCGCTTGCAGGTATCTTAGTACTAATTCAGCAGACACAATGTATTAGATACCAGTGTGTATTTCAGTTGATTCATAGAAAGCAGCCATCTGACTAGTCATAAAATGTAATCATAACGGGTGAAATATGAATTATTACTATTTGGAATAATTTTTTGTCTATTAAATACTCCCTATCTAACTAATGATATACTAGTCACTATTAGATTACTTTCTAGTAATAAAAATATAATAACAGTCGTATAGAAACAAATACGAGCTCGTTTAATTTAAACAATGTTAAAACGGCTTGCCATATTAAAAAAGAAATTATGAGCCTGTTTCTTTAAGGATTTGCATGGCTTCCGGTGACGCGAGTCACTTCTCGGTTGTAACTGTTATTGCACTATGGACTTTCCGCAAACCCTGTGATGGAAAGATTATGTATTGCTATTTCAAATATATAAGCCAGAATAATGATTTGCATACTGTTAGTTGCAGGACACGGCACGATTTTAGAGACACAGATCAAGGTAAATCAACTAATATAAACGTTTTCATCTGAGCTACAAAAACTGTTATGATTTCTTAACTTTGGCGCTCGTGTGGACTTCCCACGTTATAAATTTATATTCAAAACAAGAAAGAGAAGAGAAGGAGAAAGTGTGCTACAGATAAAAATAGGTTTGCAATGAAATGCTGCGCTTCACTAAACTTGTCTCTGTATCGCAAGAGTGATGTTACAGGTCTGTTTGCTCATCTGACCGGTGTGCCCAAAGCTCTGTTACCTGGAGTGGGGGGAAAGAAAATATTGGATTTCTGGTGGGAAACCGTCAACACGTGAGTCATTATATTTGTTGTGCTGTACTTTTAGAATAATTTTAAAAGGTGTTTTCCATGCAAACCAATGCAACACAGTATTTACCCTCTCACTTAGGCGCCAGCTGTTCAGTGAAGTCTATCTGGTTACAAATGCTGATAAGTAAGGCATATTTTGCTGTCATTTATTTAGTCATGCATGCCAACCTGATTTTTTTTTTTTTTTGCAATGTTTACATTTTCTTTTGTGTAAATAAGGGCAGGAGGCTTGGCTTCTTTTGAATGTTTAGGATACACAATACCACCCATTAAACTTACTTCAGAATGTATGTTGGTTCAAAACTGCATTCAATTTAGATACAAGCACTATGAACGGTGGGCAACAGCAAATGACTTTCCAGTGGAGAATGTTGTGAATGATGGCAGCACTACTTTGGACGACAGACTTGGGGCTGTCGCAGATCTCGAGTTGGCCATCCGAAGCCGACAGCTACAAGATGACATCATGGTGGTATGGGCTTTTTCCAGAACCAAGTCTATTTGACCAAAAAAAACAAAAAAAAATTTGATGAAAATGTACTCACCCTCAGGCCATCCATGAGCTTGTTTCTTTATTGGAACGGATTTGGAGAAACTTAACATTTAATCACTTGATCACCAATTGATCCTCTGCAGTGAATGGATGCTGTAAGAATGCGAGTCCAAAAAGCTGATAAAAGCATCACAATAAGTAATCCACACAATTCCAGTCTATCAATTAACGCCTTATAAAGTGAAAAGAGGTGTGTTTTTAAGATACAAATCCATCATTAATAAATTTTAGTTACTTCTGGCCATACGAGTCTATAATGCATAATAATGCGTGAAAAAGTCCATCCTCTCTTGTCCTCTCATATCAAAATCCACCAACATGTTTTGTTTAGAGCTGTTTTGAACTGTTTTCGCTTGTAAACGGTGCTTGATCTGTACATATTTCTCAGGCAAGACGACTTTTTCACTGGAGAAATCAATTTTATAGATTAGAGCCTCTATTAAAAACCATATTTTAGCTGGAAGCAGTGATTTGAGATTGAGGTTTGAACATTGTGATGATGGATTTGTTTATTACAAACAAGCAGCTGGAGCCGTGTGGATTACTCATGGATTATTGTGATCATTGTGGTGTTTTTATCAGCTGTTTGGACTCTCATTCTGACGGCACCCATTCACTTAAGAGGATCCATTGTTGAGCAAGTGATGTAATGCAAAATTTCTCCAAATCTGTTCTGATGAAGAAACAAACTCATCGACATCTTGGATGGCATTGTGGGTGAGTAAATTTTAAGGATTTTTGGGTTTATTATTCCTTTAAATCTTAAATTGGAATGGCTGTTTTTAGTTGTGAATTCACATGTTGCATTTACAGATCGCAGGAGACATGCTTTGTGCTGATCAGAACTTTGATATTGCACAAGTCATTCGCTTTTTCAGATCTAAGGTAAGAGAGACTCATCCTATTGATTGTGTTGTTACAAGTGAGATGTCATACACAGTGACCCAACCAGGTTCATACTGATTTGTACTTTCCCGCTTGCGCCATACCCAGTAATTACCGCATTTATGCTCATACTGCACACACACAACTGTATTTACTCTCACTCATCACTATTTTATCTATGTTTCCACTCATTTACCTTGTTGAAATAATTGATGTAATTCCTACTCAATTGTAATTCTCATTACTTATTTAATACTTCAGCCTGGAGAACTTGCTATATATTATGAGCTGGAGTCAGGAGAGAAGAGCTACACCAGAGGAATTGTTGAAGTTTGTCCAAACACCCATCGGTGAGACATGATGACGCATTGTTGTGGTTTTCATGGAAGAAGTACCCTCTGATATGATATTATAAAAATAACAAAGTTTAGCAGATTATTTATAATTTTTGCACTTGGCTATTTTTTTGCACTCTGAATAGCAGGGTTTATTGCTTTATTGTCCATTCATTTTGTCATAAAATGGAAATATGGAAATCTTTACATTATCATAAATCACAATAACCAATAAACTTTTTTTTTGATCATTTAGGGTGCCATGGCAGTTTTTTTGCACTCTAAATAACTTAGTTTAGTCGGTTCAGTTTGTCATAGAATGGAAATATGTTTTTGGCATTATAAATTGCATGTAGACAGATACTGAAAATAGATAGCATATGTAAATTGTTGTCATTTAAAATTCAAAGTGACAAGTAAATAGAACTTTCTTTTCAAAGTTTAAACCAGGTGTGTCCTATTCTGGTCCTGGAGGGCCAAGATCCTGCAGAGTTTAGCTCCATCTTACCTGCTTGGAAAATTCTAGTAATTCTGAAGACCTTGGTTACTTTGGTTCAGGTGTGTTTAATTGGGTTTGGAGCTAAATTCTGCAGGACAGTGGCCCTCCAGGAGAAGTAATGGACACCCCTGGTTTAAGCATTCACCACAATCCTCTGAACCTCTGCTGACACCAGGGTCATGCGATTCTTTGAGAAGCCTCAGGAGGGAGTCACTGCTTCTCGTCTGGCCAGTGTGGTGTTCTACTGCCTAAGCAGAGAGTCCTTACTGTACATCTCTGAATTCCTCATTCAACACCCTGATGTTAATGATAGAACTTTTGGCACGTTTTGGGTCAGTGTTTAACTTATGTTTGAATTTAAAAAAGTAAAGCATCAAGACTTTGTTTTGTGTGACTTGAGATGTTTAATGGTTGTAGGAATGGCTTATAAATGAGGAGAAAGTTCCTGTTTATGGGATGAAGTTACCAACAGGATTTCAACTAATTGGACAAGTGGTGGGTACAAATGTAGCATTATTTTGGGTTAATGCTTT